GCTCACACCTAAGGCCTTCCTACCGGTGACCCGGATGAGATGAAGCAGCTTACGGGAATTTCCCATGGCGGTGGCACGTTCCATCTCTGACACGCGTTTAGTCCACCAGATCTCGCGGTCTCTGCGTAAGCTTACGTTGAGGTTACGACTCGTTGCTTGTCGTATTTCATTATGCTCGCTGCCGGTCGGGATTGATCGGCGTGCGTCGAGAGGCCGTAGAGATTCCGCAGAAATTTAGGATGTCACGGCATGACATGTCAGACCATAACTAACTAAGTCAGCAGAATACAGAGCGTTCTTGATGAGCGATCAGTGCTGGTTAACGTCATCGGGTGGGGTTGATGTAGATAGGTACAGACCTTTTCCAGATTGCGCAACGCAGGTTGTGTTTAGATGTTGTTTAGACCATTGCTCCCTCCCAACTTACATAGGTATTTGTGAATCTTTGGTATCCTCAATCTAAATCCATCAATCTTCTTAAACTGACGATACACAAGCAATCCAACAGGCTTTGAACCGCTTGGCAATAGAGGTATTCAGGTATGAAATGAAATGAAAATGAAATGGCTTGAAATGAAAATGAAATGGCATGTGTTTCGCACCATATATGTGCAAAGTGCTTGATCAACACAGGCAGGAGCATGTGCCTGCACCCACCTTCTGTGGTGATCCACTGGAAGTAGTTGACAGCTTTAAGTACCCCGGGAACCTGATCACAGCTGGAGGTGGGATTGAGGAAGAAATGGCATCTGGAATAGCGAAAGCTAGAGTAGCTGTTGCCAACCTGCTGCACCTGTGGTGCTTCCATGGCATCCAACTGACCCTTAATTTTAGGGTGTACATCTCTGCGGTTCGTACCGTTCTGCTTTCCGGTTGCGAAACTTGGCCTTTAAGAGCGGAGGATACTAATCGACTTTCCGTATTCGACCACGGGTGTCTTTGAAGTATTGCTCGTGTCTGGTGGGAACATCGGGCGAGGGCCTTCGTTGGTTAGAGAAGCTGAGAGATATGGCCCGGAATAGAAGTCAGTGGCGCGAATGCTGTACGGTCTACCTGTGAAAATCCCGTGTCCCGCAAAAACAATAAACAACACAATATCAAAATGTGTACAGTGAAACAAACGAAATTGTCGTTATCCGTGTTATCTACTGTTGTCCATTGTAACTGTTTAGCCTCTATTTCATTCTGTTCTGTATCCCACTCTCTCTATTCCCATGTGGTTGTC